AGTCTTTTCCTCCCAGCACAGTGCAATGATCACCAGCATTCCAGTGTCTCTGAAATAACTACAGGGCTGTCGTGAGGGCAGATATGTATGTGGTTCATCTATGAGGCCCCAGCTCCAAGCACAAATGAACAAGCAAACTATGCTCTCTGTTCAAAAGCCAACCCTTGGTGTGGACGGGATGAAAACAAATAACTTAACAGGCCTCTAAAGCCCTCCACAATCGGCTCTAATCCTCCTTTCTAGGCTTGTCTTCAGTGACTGGTTGATTGGGGAGCCTAACTGGCCTCCTCAAGTCCTTTTCTCCAGCCTCCCTGGCTGTTGATCACCTCCATTTTGAAAAGTCTTGAGCCTTTCAATATTTGGGATTTTGTGGATGTCATTCATCCTCCACCTATGTTTTTGTTTTAAGATGGAGTGTTGCTTTGTCGCCCAAGCTAGAGTACAGTGGGGCACTCTTGGCTCACTGCAACCTCTGGCTCCCAGGTTCAAGCAATTCTCATGCCTCAGTTTCTTGAGTAGCTGGGATTACAGGTGTGTGCCACCACACCCAGCTAATTTTTTATTATACTAGAGATGGAGTTTTAGCATGTTGGCCAAGCTGGTCTCGAACTCCTGACCTCAAGAGATCCACCTGGCTCAGCCTCCCAAAGTGCTGGGATTACAGGCGTGAGACACCACACCCGGCCCATCCTCCATCTATCTACCCACATCCCAGTCAACTTTCAAAGGTTGATCAACTCCCCCCTTTCCCATTGAAGTCTCCCTGGACTGTCCAGCCCCAAGGGGTCTCCATGTCTGCATGTACAGCCCATCTCCACCCTCACCATTCCTTTGGTCAGTAGGAACTTCCATGGCATTTCTTCTTGTGAATCACTCATGCGTTGTCATTTCGCTTTTTACGGTCTTGATGTATGTGCTCCATCAAGACTGAATGTTCCCTGGGGGCATCACAGGCACACACTACAACCTCCACCGCACCTGGCACAGCTCTTCCACATAGCAAGGCTTCTGTAAATATTTCCTGATTTACAAATCAGTCCAATGTGACACAAACAGGGACATCTGCCACACGCCAACAAAAGAGTGAAAAAAAACAGGATAGAAACATCTTTGTTTCTGTCTATGCTCCATGAATGGTGAGTGGGTAGAAGAGAGCATGGATGTTAAAATGAAGCAATTTTACAGCATCTGCATGGAGTACCATTTAACCTCGCCTCCTACTGGGCAGGTATTCATAACAACTGCCTCACATGTCAGCCACTGCCCACTTCCCAGGAGAGGGCCCATTAAGAAAGTCACCAATTCATTTCAGCTTGGTTTATAACTAACGAAGCAACCTCTGACCTCAATAACCTATGGACTGGTGTGTGAGTAGGGTCTGATTTACAATCTCTATATAAAATGTCATTCTAAAGACTCATGGTCTTGTCTCAGACAATTTCAAACAAAAATTTTTTTAATTTTTACTCTACAGGTATCCTCATTCCCACTACCATCTCCTCATCTCTTCCCCACCCCAATGCTGGCCCCTAATCTCTACACAAAAGCAAAAGCAAAGGATGGAGAGGGGGAAGAAGAAGACTGATCTTAGAGGATCTTCTCCCATTTTACAGATGAGAAAACTGAGACTTCCTGATATTGTGGAACAAGCAAATGGATTTGGTCAAAATCTATTTAAATCCTGCCGCCTCCATTTACTGTGTGACCTAATCTCTCCAGGGTACTGTTTCCAGAACTGTAAAAGGCAAATAACATCCCTCACTGACTTGTTTTGAGGGTTAAATGGGACAAGGAGTGTGAAGGCCTCGACCACACATAGGTGCTCAAAGGCCAGGGAATCAAAAGTCGGACCCCAACTAGTCTCCCTCCTTGTTGCCTCCCCAGCATTCTTGGAAGTGAACATTTACTGCAGCTGAAACCTCCCATTCATACAAAAAGGACACTGGAGACAGAGGGAAGCCACTGAAGATGGCAATAAGTGGCTAACAAAACCGCAGCTGCCATCTGTTCTTTGCTTTCTTTCTGAGTGTCTCTGGACAAGGACAAGTTAACTCCAGGAACACTGTTTTCAGCCAGCTGAGCAGGGCTGCTGGAAGGCAGGAGGGATCACTGGGAGGGCAGGGGCTCCTTCCCCAGTCTTCAGGATTAGGATGCAGAAACTGCCCAGCTGGTTAGCAAGTATCTTTCAGTATCTCCCTCAGTCCACACCATTCGGGTCTCTGGCAAAAAAAATACTAGTTCAGCATGTGCACACAGGCTGAGGAAAGCAATAAAAGGGTTCTTGCAAGGTAAAAAGGAAGTGGCTTTTAAACACACATGCACCGAAGAGAGTCACTTGCCCCCTACCCCCTCCCCTTTTCTATTTGGGACACCCTCCATCAAAGCAAACAGGCTTCTCAGGAATCCCCACCACCATGCACCCCAAACCTCTGCCAGGAGTGAGGTGGCCACTTTCTGGAGGAAAGCCACTCTCCCTTCCCTGAGGGGATGCTGCTCGCCCGCTGCACCTTGTAATGGTCCTCCCAGCAGCCAAGCTAAGTGACGAAGTTGGCCCACAAAGTTAGAGCAGTTCAGGCGACAGCTATTTAACAGCTCAGAAGGGGCTGGGCTCAAAGCACTTCCTTTCCTCTAGGGAGCTGCATTTTTCTAAGATTATTAGTTCTTGGGCTGGCTGCTCAGCTACCCAGCGTCATTTCCCCTTTGGGTGGGAAAGTTCTTTCCTTCTGCATTGATTTTCATTATGATTTAAGCCTTTTCTCCCTCTCATCTGCAGAACTCACAATTAAAGCACAGCATAGGGATCACAAAATCAAGGCACATAAACTTAGCATTCAGCTTTGAACTGTGGCTCGGACGTCCTGAGTGGTAGAAAAACACACGCAGAAAAAGAAAACCTCTAGGTCTCAGCATCGTGTCACCACTCGCTGAAACACCAGCAATAAACATCGGCTGAACAGCCAGCAGGGTGACAGGTGGGCGCAAAAGCTGAACAATGGCTGTATAAACAGGGAGCTGCTCTCCAGGGACTTACAGTCTAATACAGGCAAACAACCCACATAATGGAATGCAAACACAGTTACCCAATGAGTGAGAAGCTGCACTCTGCCAGGACAAGAAGAGCTGGAAATGGCCCAAAGGGAAGAAAAGAACATTTGTGCCCCACACTGCTGATACCAGTGTATCTGGAAGTCCCAGGAGCCAGACCCTGACTACCAGCATCCCCATGGCATGAAGGAGCTGTAGGCAGCTTCCCCAACAACCAAATGGAGCACATTATTTGTGAGACTCAGGGCTTGTTAGCAGCAGTGGCATGGCACCTCCCCAAACACAAAACTGCTGAGGGAGAGCCGGGACGACCATCTGTCAGGGGTGCTGTTGGGGAGACATCTGCATGGGACACAGTGTGGACTGGAGGACCTGCGGAGGCCCATTCAGCATTGAGACCTTGCTGCCTTGTGAAGTAAGTGATAGCATCTAGTGATACATGGAGGCTAATCCCAAAGGCCCCCAGTCCTGGTTATCAGAAAACTCAGACTCATTGAATCACTGAACACTGGTTTTCTTATTTGTTGTTTCCTTTTTTCCCCCAAATGACACTTTTTTGGGCCACTACCAGAAAAACAAGCACAGCTCATGCCTAGATCCTCAGCCATGAGTAGCTTCTGGCAGGCTTCAACAGGTGTTGCTTTCATCTCTTCCAATCACACCTTCCTAACATCCCTTCAGAGACTGGGCCTTTGAGCCACTGAAGAGGTGGCACTCCTTGGGTGGTGGCTGTGGGGCACCAGGAGACCAGCAGAGCCCACTTAGGTAAGTGAAGGTGTGCACTATTCCAGCTACTCTCTCGCTGCTTTTGGGACTCTCGCACGGATTCCTTCCAGTACCTCATGTACCTGAAGCCTCCATCACTCACCTCTGCAAAGGAATCAAACTGGGAAAGCCACAAAGCCAAGGCCAGCAGTGTTACCTGCCCCACCTGTCAGGGACATTTGGGTCACATAAGGCCCCAACTCTTACCAGCTGAGTCCTCTAAGCTAGCTGCCTCCACTGTCCCTATCACTGTAGCATCTACCTCTCTATAGTCTCTGGAGATCCCAGCCCTAAGAGAAGAAGGAGACTCATGTGCCAGCCCCATCCTGCCAGGGCCCCTGCAGGTCAGTGTGCCTCCCACCTATCCCCTAACAACAACATGGGGGCCCTTCAGCTAAATCAGCCTGACTACTACCCAGATAACTCTGCCTTCGGTGCTTGGATGTCTCCTCAGAAATGTTCTCAATTCTCTGCACTCTATGTTCTGTTTAGAAAAACTCACAAAATACTACACATTGTTCCTCAGTTACTTTTCTAGTTAGAGAAAGTCAGGAAATGTGCTCTTATGTTCTTGATTCCTTCCCGTGGAAGTTAGCAAAATGGCATATGCTGTAAGTAATCTAAAGTCAGAGGCACTCTGGGATGTGTCTCCTACAAGTCTTTAAAAGCTTCTCTCTCCTCTCCCTTGACTTACTGTTCCTCGGTTTCTCAATCTTATGCCAGTGATTTAAAAATTAACAAAAATAAGGCATTTTGCGATCATGGGAATACTGTTGAATATGAAATTGAGTTTTTACAAACTTTTTCTAAGAAGCACCTCTAGGTCGGAGGAAGCAAGCTAATTCACAAGCCAGAAAGTCTATGTGATATCAGAAGCTTAAATGAATTGTCAATTACACAGACAAAAAACTCAACTTTCAGGGAAACTCCAAATTGATATCTAGTGTTGCAAGCAACCCAGCTTCTTTGAATAGCCGGGACAGTGTATGCATGCCCTGTGTCACTCACAGGAAGGCAAAGGCTAACACCACCACTTTGCTGACTTTGTTCAAAGCACTTTCCATTTATTTTTACTTTCATTTTGTCCCATCATCACTAGGAGGCTAGAAGGAACAGGGATCATCACTTTCATTTCACAGATGGAGAAAGTGAGCTCAAAGAGACCGCATTCCCAAGGTCATAACAGTATTATGGTTAGAATTCCACTCAATCTGTGACGTACTTTTCCAAATCATGAGAAAGAACTGGATACAAAAGTAGCAGGGAGAAGAGGTCAGTTCCCTCTCTCTGCTTGGGACAGGCAGTGGCTATCACGGAGTAACAGTTCACTGGGAAAGGAAAGAGGAGGGAAGAGATTCAGGGATGGTCCTGTATCAGCCTGTGCCTTGCAGGGGTTCAGCCATGCAACCCCCACCCCGTTCCTTTGAAGTTGAACCAGTAGAGCATTTTGTTTCAAACTACGTACGTCCTTTGTCCTTCAAAATTTCCCGTGCTAGAACCTCTTAAAAATCAGTTATCTAGTTGAGAAAGTCAAACCCGGAACAGAGAGGCCAGTTCTGTATGGGGGAAAAAATGAAGCTGGGGACTGCCGGCCAGAAATCACAGGTGGGAGAGATGCTTTAGAGCCCTTTTTCTTTCCTTTCCACTTTTTTTTTTTTTTTTTTAAGTGGGGTGGAAGAGATACAGGGTACCCATGGGAAATAAGTTTTCTTCCAAAGGGTCGGGGGAGAACCGGATGGTCACACCCCCCAGGCCAGCCACCCGGCCAAAGCGTCCCTCCCTACCCGCCGACCGTCAGGGTCCCGCGCATGCCAGGCGAGGAGCCCCCACCAGGGGTAGCACGGAGCGGAGGGGCCTACAGCTGGGGATGCAGCCCGCGGCGCGCCCACGCCCCCAGCCCCGGCTGGCCCGGCGCCAGGTTCCCGGCTCTCACTCACCCGCGCTCCCGCCTCGGGGCTCCCGGCTGGAGGGTCTTTGCCGTGTAGCGGCGCCCGGCTCAGGGCCGGTGTGGCTGGGGCCGGGGGGCGGCGTGGGCGGCAGCGGCTTAGGCTGCGGGCGGCGCTCCAGCTGCAGCTTCAGCCCCGCGCCCGCGAGGGGAGCCCGGCTCGGCGCGCGGCGGGCCGGGAAAGGCGGCGGGTCCCGCGTCCCGGGGGCCGCCGCGGGTAGCAGCAGCAGCGGCGGCAGCAGCAGCAGCAGTAGGAGCGGCGGCGGCCACCGAGAGGCGCGCGGCGAGGCCATGGTGGTGGCGCCCGCCCGCGCTCACATGCCCGGCGCGCGGGGCGGGCGCGGGGCGGCCGCGGGCGAGGGCAGCGGGCGGCGGGGGCCTCGCGGGGCCTGGACGTGAGCGGAGTGAGGCTGCGAGCGCTCTCCCCGCCTCAAAAGTTGTCGCGAGCCGCGGGAGGGCGGCCAGGGGCCGGGAGGGCTGGGCAGAGGCGGCCCGCGGCGCCGCTACATGCTAATTAGCCCGGGCGGGTCGCGGGCGGGAGGCCGGCTCCTCCTCGGTTGACATCACCGGCCCCGCGCGGCGGGCCCGGGGGCGGGGAGAGGGCAGGAAGGGGGCTGGGGCCCGGCGCCTGGAGAACGGCCCGGCCCGGGACGGCGGGATGAGGTCAGCGGAGCCACGGTGCAACTTTTGTCACACACACGCTCCGCAGAGTCTTCTGAATCTGACACCACCACTTTCCCAACTCCTTAAACGCACAAGAAGTCGGTGAAAAGCAGGTCCTGGGTAATGTGGTCAGCACCAGACTAAATTATCCCAAGTGCTTTGATAGGAGAGAGAAGGGGAAGGGTCCCCTGCTCCCCACCCAGCGCTGTCACCGCCCTTACTGATTTGAACTGTCCCCACTCCCACCCCACCTCCTCTTCTCCAGGCCCCAGGGCTGGTGATGAGTTCGTGTTTGCCAAGCCTAACACCTCACCCTCCAGCCAACGCGAGAATCCGAGTATCCCCCCACGCCCTCTCAAGCTTGGATGCTGTTCCCATCCGACCACTGCCTTTGGCTCACACCAGATTTCTGCAGAGATGTCACCGCCAGGACACGCAAACAGGCTGCAGGGAAAAGAAAACTGTGAATTCAGGCAGGCTAGGGCAAACTCATCAGGAAAAGAGCTGCAGGTCGCAAATTAAACGAAATGATGCCCAGAGATCACAGAATTTTAAATGGAAACCTATGGGAAGAGATTCAGAGATTTCGTGTAAACAAATTTTCTCAGTAAATAAAGTTCCGTTTGCTTCCATATCCTCTCCCTTCCCAGTAAATGAATAATGAAATGTCTAAAGTTTGGGACTGTAAGCCTCTTCATGAAGAAAGAGGGGCTCAAAATAGGAAAATAACTTGCTCAAGATTCTGAAGGTAGACCCGAAGACGAAATGATTGATCTGTGAATGATTGTGTGATATTATTAATTCTGGTCTCCTAATTCAGCTTGCAATAATTCAGTGTTGCAACAGAAACAAACGCTGCAGTTCGTTGGGGATCTTGCCAGTTCTGTTGGGGGCCCCTGTCTGACAACCAAATGCCCATGAAAATATGAGTATGCACCTCACTTTCAAGACTGGCTCTCCACCCCATTTCTCTGCTCTTCTCTGTTTCTCTGTCTCCAGGTCTCCATGACCCACCTCCAGGAGAATGAGATCGTGGTGTCCAGGGCAGCTGCAGATGGGCCTAGGTCCACTTTCTGGTGACTCAATACAAGTGAGTCATTTGGCAAAAAACATAAAGGAGGCTATGTATAAACAAACTCACCTTAAATGAGGGAAGGAGGAGTAAAGATTTTTGTTTTGTTTTTAAACATACCAGTTTTCCAGGACTCTACACAGAATTTCCAGGTCTCTCCAAGAAAATACCAAACAATAATCCCCCTGAAACTGACTTGCTTTGCTCTCATGGCCTGAGCTCAACTTCTCTGGATGCTGCTCTCACATTAACATGCAGAACTGCACAGCTGCCCAGACTCAGCCAGACAAGCCCCACAGACTAGGACTGTGCTCGAGGTTCTGGTCACTATCGCTCCCTCCCTTCCAAGGAGACCATGTCACATAGTACTGGTTGCCCTCCCAGGCAAGCAGGAAGGTTAAGGATAGAATGGCCCTTCTTCAGGAATCCTATGAGAGAATCTGCCTTTTCTAAGACCCAAGGAGTAAACATGTACCTGCTTCCTTCCACCAATCCTCCCCGATCAATCCCATTCCACTTTTAAGTACCAAGGTTTATCTCTCTCTAATCTTCTCTCTGCCTTCTAAGAGAAATGACTGAGTTCAGGGTAACTGCCAGCTAGAAAGAGCTTAACCAGCAGATTAGGAGTGGGACACACAGGGAGAATTTGGAAGGACTGATCACCGTGTAGATGGATTTCAGCTCTTTTTCTTCTCCTCCTAGGGCAGAATGAGAGAAAACAGCAAGAGAGCAAGAGAGAGCTGGATGCAGTGACTTGGTCCATGAGTCCTTGCTTTGTTTCCAGCCGTTACCACTGCTTAGTTGTGTGATCTGGGCCGCAGTTTCCAGTCTGTAAAATGAAGATGGTCCTAGATGATTGCTAAGGGGTGTTCTAGCTCTGATGTTTTCGAGTTCAGTAAAGGACTTCTGGCACAGTAGCAAGGAGGTATGAAATAGGTATCTCCCATCCAAGTACTAACCAGACCCAAGCCTGCTTAGTTTCTGAGATCAGAAAAGATTAGACACTTTTAGGCTGGTGTGGCCACAGATTAAAACAGTTATCCAAGGACATTTGTAGTGTTTCCTTCCCAGGGATATGAAAATCCAGGCAAGAATCTTGATCATCTCAGAGAGCTTAAGAGAGGTCCTATCTGGAGCCTGGGTCATAAATCAGATGACGTCTCAGCCCTGGGAATCTGTTGATCTAGGATAAAACGGATGGGAAGCCAGCTCAGAACAAATTCCAGGACTGAGTGAGTTAATAGGCATTCCTGACCTCTCCATAGGTAGGAGTGGGGGCACCCCAATGTGGCTGGCAGTAAAAGCAGGGAGCCCAGTGTCTTTGCCACCTGAAACTTGATGTAGTCAGAGCTTTTGCCAGGGCTTTCCTGCCTCTACTTGTGTTAGTCAGCCTAGGCTAGGCTGCAGTAACAAACAGGCCGCCCAGATGCAGCAGCTTCATACCATATGTGTTTCGTTCTTGTTCCCCTACCAGCCTCAGACACTGACGTTCAGCTCATTGAGCTGTGTGGAGAAGCTGTCCCACAGAAGGGAATAAGAAAGCACATTATGGTGGTTCTGCCATATTCTAGTATGGCTTCCAAAGTTGCTGTGGGAATTGGTATCCCAGTCAGCCAGAGGTGAATATAACATGGTGGTGTGAGCAGAGGAGGTTTTGGCGGGCTGGTCTGGAAGTGCCTCATCTCCTCTTACATTCCACTGGAGAGAGCATGGTCACATGGCTCACCCAACTGCACAGGCAGCTGGGAAATGTAGTCTAGCCACATAGGCAAAGAAGGGGAGAAGGGATTTAGGTAGACGGCTAACAATCTCGGCCCTACCCCTTGATATCCGTAGGGCAGGGAAAGAAAGGGAGAATAAAAAGATACATCCTTTGGTCTGTTTCCTTCTTTATGAGGGTGTTGAATCAAATGATCTCTCAAGGCCCACCTACTCTAACATTCAGTGGTGTGAAGGGGCCATGAAATGTCCTTCTGCACCGAAGTGAGCAAACTGTACAGGTTCCTGCCATAGCAGACCTGCAGCTTGAGGAAGCCTCCTCTGCTGATTGGTCTGACTGGTAGACTCACAGAGGGGACCTTGGCTCTCTCTAAGTTCTGTTCCTCAGCTACTCTCATTATTTGGCCAAGTCAGGTAATCTCTCTTGATCTGTTTCCTTAGCTGTCCCATGGGGAGAAAAATCATTTCCCTCTGCTGCCTCTTGGGGTTGGTCTGAGGATATGATGAGATCACTGCCCAGAAGGCACCAGGAGCTCTTCTGACTGAAGAGCTCTGCATGATGCCCTTATTGCAGCCAGAGCCTTTTATAACACTGCATTCTAACCTGGCCCCATGTGTGCCCAGTTCCTGAGGATGGTGCCTGTGCAGGATTTGTGGCCACGCGGGTTGGCATTGCCATGGCTGGAATGCAGTGGCAAGTGCACAGCAGTAACACCCACGGACACTCGGGACTCTGGTGACCAGCGGCCCCTGAGGGGCCTGGATTGAGCGTCACCTAGGGACAGGTAGGCTGGGCCCAGGGATCACTGTCTCCACTGGGGCATCTGGCCGGATTCTCTGTTAAGTGCTTATCACCCTATTAAACCCTGAGAATGTTTGCTCATCCTCTCATTTGCTTGTCCCCTCCCACTCGCAATCTACGAGGTGCTTTCTGGGACGTTCTGTGCCTTACTAATCTTTATATCCTCAGAATCCAAAATAGGACTTTCTTTTACTTAGCCAGTCAACAAATATTTACTGAGTGAGTACACTGTGCCCGGCACTGTGGTGGGTGCATGGCAAGTCAGTGGCATCGAAGAGCTTAAAGGTTTGGAGGAGACAGACAGTAATTAAAAGAGCATAAATGTAAATTTGTCACGTGTAAGTGCCTGAAGGAGACCAGTCAGGAGGGTATGTTGAGTTTCCCTGTGGACATGAAATTGAGTCCTGATCTGAAAGCTGTGTAGGCTGTTAACCAGGCAAATCCGAGTGGGGAGAGTATGTGCAAAGCTCCTGAGGCAGGAGGAAGTGGGATACATGGAAAGGACTGGAAGAAAGCCAGTGTGGCTGAGACAGAGCGTAAGGAAGACCACGCAAGGAGGCAAGCCTGGAGACTTTGAAAGGAACTAAGTCAGGGAGACTTAACAGCTCATTTTAAGGATTTCTTCTTTTTTAAGAGTTTAAGGACGTCATTATAAAGAAGTAGAGAAGGTACAGTATGGTGAAGGTGGAGGTGGAGGAGGAGTTAAGGGGTGAGGTGCGCCATGATTTGGGATTGGAAATCATCATTCTAACTATGATAAGAGAAACAATTTTGAAAGAAACAAGAACTGATGCTTGGACTCTCAGAGTCCAAGTGGGAAGTTGATCACTCCTGGACAAGGGTAATAGAAGTAAATTCAGAGAATGTGGATTTGAGAGACTGTAGGTGGTAAAATCCACCAGACATATTGATGGACATGGAGGATGAGGGAGAGAGTGTGGCAAGATAGCTCAGGTTTCTGGTATCCATGATTGGATGGATGGTGTACCATTTACAAGGAGAGGGAACAGTGGACAAGAACTGTTTGGATCTACAGACTTGGAGCTGTAGATTCAAGGCGGTCCAAGTTTAAGGTTTGGAGTCTGAGGGGTGCAAGGGGATGCGATTATCTAGGGAAGAGAGTATCGTGGTCAGAGAAGACAGGCTGAAAATGAGTCCTGATGAACACAATATGAAATGACTAAGAGAGAAGGCTGAGCCAGAAAAAAGACTGGAAAGGAGCCACTGAGAGATAGGAGAAAACCCAGAAGGTTATATCACCCCAGCAAAGGGAAGGAGATCCTGGTTCACAGTGTGCAATGCTGCCGAAAGGTCAAGTGAGGTGAAGACTGAAAATAGCCCTTCGTTTTAGCAACATTGAAATCACTGGTGATCATAAGAGAAGTGACTTCAGCGGAGTGTTCAGAGCAGTGTCCACATGGAGAACACTGGAAGGAGTGTGAGCTGAGGAAGCTGAGCAGCTGGAAATCACTTTTCAATAGAGTTTGACTCTGAAGAGGGAGAGTGAGCTCGGACGGCAACTAGAGAGGAAAGAGTAGAGGGGAGTTCTTGTTTTTAGGGGAACATTTGGATGTGGAAATGGTCTGTATGGAGGGGAAAAGTCAAAGGCCTAAGAAAGATGGTGGACAGGATAAGGTTTCTGAGAAGCAGGAGGGGACAGGATCCCGGGCCCACGTGGACGGACTGGCCTGGAGGCGAGGAAGAGGAGAGGGTGGTGCACTGCAGGCCCTGGACTTCCCTCTGAGGACTTCAGTTTTCTTGGTAAAGTAGGGGACTTGACTTGTAAAAGAGGCTACTTGCTGTGAGTGGAGGGAATGGAGCGGCCTGAGGGATTTGAAATGTTGAGAAACACCAATGTATTCTTTTCCGAAAGCTGCTGTAACAAAGTCCCACAAACTGAGTGCCTGAAACAACAGACGTGTATCCTCTCACTGTGTGGAGGCTGGAATTCTGAAATCCAGATGTCAGGGGCACTGTGCTCCCTCTGAAGCCTCCAGGAGAGAGCTTGTCCTTGCCTCTTCCTAGCTTTGGCGGTGGTTGGCAATGCTTGTTGTTCCTTGGCTTGTCACCCCTGCCGCCATGATCACATGGTCTTCGTCCTACTGTGTGTGTCTGTCTTCACATGGTTTTCTTAGAAACATGCTGTTATTGGATTTACGATCCCCTATAATCCAGTCTGATCTTTTTTATTCACATCTACAAAGGTGCGATTTTCAAATAATGTTACATTCACAGATACCAGAGGTTAGGCTTGAACATATGTTTTGGGGACACAGCATTCTATCCACTATCATTAAGACATTTAGAAACAGTCGTAGAGAGGGAGAGAACTGTCCCAGGATGCCCAACCCTGTCACAGGCTGGCGGGGACTGGTGAAGGTAAACCAACAGTGAGAGTATGCTTCAGCATCAGCTGCTCTCCCACTTGCTCCTCTCTGCTGACCAGCATCCTTGGGTAGAGCTGGGGCACCCCAGCCCTCTCCCACTGCAGGGCAGATTTCCCTCCCACAAGAACAGAGTCTTCTGACCTCTCTTGACTCCTCCTCCCTTCCAGCTTCAGTCTCTGTCTCTGCCTCCCATTCAGTCCCTTTCTCTGCCCCAAGGTACATGAAGGACTCTTGCAGACAGGAGCTGCAGAGCTGGCCCCACAGCACCGGAGCTGTCATTGAAGAGCAGAATTCCAGCCTTCCATGGCACATGTGCTACCTCTGCACTATTTTGTTCAGAGCTCCAAGAAGCAGGTGCCTTGGGATTTTCACCAAAGAACAGAAGGAATAAACCCATCGCTGTTTTTTTAACCTCCCCCTGCAGAAGAAGCCTTATTCTCCCCTTTCTGGAATGTCAGAAACAGTGTCATTTTGTCCAGGCTGAGTTGTCCTCTTTGCTGGACCCCAGGCCTAGGGCACCCTTGGTGCTTCTCCACCCACCAGTGCTGAGTTCCGGGGCTGTTTGCCCTGCAGGTCCAAGGCTAGAATATAAACACCACAATCCCTCTGGAAACTGGCTGGGACCTCCTCCAGGGAGGAAGGGTTGCTCATGGGCTGGCCAGCCTCCCAAGCATCATGTACAGCAACCCGAAGCTCCACGTTACACAGCTCAGGGCAGGTCCTTAAATGACCTTCTGCTTCTTGTCTGCCCATCTGAGAGAACCATTCCATTCCAAACAACATTCCTTCGATAAAATCGGTTACACACTGTAAACGTCAGTGAGCCAGGAACATTCTCCAGTGCAACAGGATTCTGATAAAGCAATCCTATTTTGCAAAACCTTCCAGAGTGAAACATCCTCCTCACAGCAGGCGGGGAAATTCCTGGGATGCCACGACATTGGGCAAAGTGTCCAAGGCCCCAGGGAAGGAGCAGAAAGTCTGGAGGTGGAGCTCCCATTGTGGGCAAAGGGACTTGGGTTTTCAGTCATCTGTTCATCAATCACTCACTTGACAAATATTTGCTGAACACATCCCATGTGCCAGGCTCTGATGGAGTCACTAGAAACACAGTGTTTCCACATGACTGCAAAACTCCCCCGATGTTCAAAGAGCAGCGACGATTTCCTCTCCTCACACAGTCCAGGTTAACAATTGGGTGTAACGTCCACATGCCTCTCCACCTCACTCGCTCTGTGAGTCTGGATGTGTTCTTCCATGAGTGGGCCCTCATTCTGTTGGCTTTTCTGTTGTCGCTCTCCATTTGCAGATGCCTCCTCTTGAGGCTGTTTCTGGGTCTCTCAATCTCTATTCTTCAAGTATCCCTTTGTGTCACAGAGTGCCTCCCAGCCATTCCTCTGCCTCTCCATCAGTCTGCCTTTCTTCCAATCAATTCATCTCCAAATTTTTTTCTCCTTCCTTCTTCTGTTTCTTCTCCTTAACTGATTGTTGACACAGAATTAAATACATTTTTTTCCCTTAGGTTTGTGGAATATACTTTCACATTCTCTGATGTTTGGTTTTAAAATTGATTGAAAAAATATTTATATCCTTTGGTGTTCTTTGAATTTCTTATAAGAATATGTATGATTATCTAAAACTGTTTATTAAAATATGATGCCTGTATTAGTCCATTTTCATACTGCTCTGAAGAAATATATGAGACTGGTAATTTATAAAGAAAAAGAGGTTGAATGAACTCACAGTTCCATGTGGCTGGAGAGGCCTCACAGTCATGGCAGAAGGCAAAGGAGGAGCAGCGGCACATCTTACATGGCAGCAGGCAAGAGAGTGTGTGCAGGGGAACTGCCCTTTATAAAACCATCAGATCTCGTGAGACTTATTCACTATCATGAGAACAGCATGGAAAAACCCACCCCCATGATTCAGTTACCTCCCACTGGGTTCTTCCTGTGACACACAGGGATTATGGGAGCTACAATTCAAGGTGAGATTTAAGTGGGGACACAGCCAAACCATATCAATGCCCATGGAAAAAAGTGCCCATGAAATGCCATAAACATGCCATGCAGAGCTCCAAGAATTTCACTCACTGAACACACTTGTGTAGCCACATCTCAGACTAAAAGATATTTACATTGCCTTCCAATATTCTCCCCGACATGCATCACCACTGCCCTGACTTCTCTCAGCATGGATTCCTCTCTTTGATAAAAGACCAAATCCCTGGTTTTGTATTTTATGGAAGTGAAATGCAGTCATGTAGATTACTTTGTATCTAGCTTCTGCTGTTCAGGACTTCACTCATGTTGTTGCAGGTAGGCATGGCCTCTTCATTGTCCTTGTGAGGTGGTAGCCATTGTGGGGCTGTCGTGCAATTTACTTTCTCTTCTATTGTTAATAGGTATTAGGGGAGTTTCCTTTTGCAGCTGTTACAAATACGCTGCTTAAAATTCATGTACATGTCTTCTGATGGCATGTATTACTGTTAATCAGCAAAGAAAACAAGAAAACGATCTCCATTTGGAAAGATGGGGATGGCCAAGTGGGATATTTTCAAGGGCTCTGGAGTAGGAGACAGAACAGGAGGCTTCACTCTGGCTTCTCTATTCTCTAGTTTTATAGCTTTGGGCCAATCAGTTAATCTCAGTGAGTCTCAGTTTTCTTATCTGTAAAATATGGACGGTAATACCTGTCATTGGTAGGCATTACTACTTCACAGGGTAACTGTAACAATCAAATGAGATGACAGATGTGAGGGAAAAAAACAATTTTAAGGTGTCATGCTAAAAATAATGGCTGGATGTGGTGACTCATGCCTGTGATCCCAGTGCTTTGGGAGGCTGAAGCAGGAGGATTGCTCGAGCTCAAGAGTTCAAGACTAGCCTGGGCAACATAGTGAGACCCTGTCTCTGCAAAACTAAATGAAATAAAAATTAGGCCAGAAGAATAGAAAATCAAACATTGCATGTTCTCACTCATAGGCGGGTGTTGAACAATGAGAACACGTGGACACAGGGAGGGGAGCATCATACACTGGGGTCTGTTGGGGGTGCTAGGGGAGGGACAGCAGGGGTGGGGATGGTGGGGAGGGATAACAGGGGAGAAGTGCCAGATACAGGTGATGGGGGGATGGAGGCAGCAAACCACCTTGCCATGTATGTACCTATGCAACAATCCCACATGATCTGTACATGTACCGCAGAACCTGAAGTGCAATAAAAAATAAAAAATAAATAATTATTCAGGCATGGTGGCATGCACCTGTAGTCTCAGCTACTTTGGAGGCTGAGGCAGGAGGATTGCTTGAGTCCAGGAGTTCAAAGTTCTAATGAACCATGATCATGCAACTACACTCCAGGATGGGCAACAGAGCAAGACCCTGTTAAATAACAACAATAATAATATATTGTGTTTATTTCTCTTATTCAAGAAAAAATTAACAGCAACAATGTGATGCTCTTGATTTATTTGTTTTAAAATTTTGAACTTGTGACCTTCATTAGACATGAGAGCTCTTGAATCCCTGACCCGCTGTGGGCCACAAAAGAAAAATGTCTCAAAATGTCCTATCTCCAAAGGTCTATGTTTTGCATGAGCAAGTCAGAACATGTGGCCTGTGCCATGTTTTTCCCCTTCCAGGTGACCCTTGGCTCACAGTAGTTGGGGGCTCCTGGTCTAGATAAGCAACAGAGAAAACCACCAAATGAGCTGTAAGGGACCTTAGGGGTAGGCTCTGGCCCCTCAAGGGAAGCCAGGTACCCACAGAGGATACACAGAAGGCAGATCTAGACCTGTCTTCAGACACCAGCCAGTGCCCCATCCTCTACCTTATACTGCCCAACCTCGTTTAGCAAGGATCTGATGAGAGTGTGGGCAGGAAACAGGATTCTGTGTCTGCTGACAATCAGAGCCAATCTAAAACTCTTCACTCTCTGCCAGCATGGATCATTTGCTAGTTTATGGAGGCTGTTGGAGTCCACATGCTGGTGAAGACAGGCAGGACACCCTTCCACCTAAGTTCTCCCTCCCCATCCACCCAAAACAAACCTTGTATCCTGAGACTCACGCCCTGAAATGTGTTGTTTCCTCAGGCCTCACCAGGATGGTTTCTACAAGGGAAGACCCAGAGCAGCCAGTCCACAGATTCTTCTTGAGCACCCACCACACTGGCAGCCCTGTGCTCAGTGCTCTGGGGATACAAAGCTACAGGCTCCCTGCCCTTGGGGCACTCCTGATGGACGAGGAGAGAAGTATAGCCTGAATGACAGAGAGTGATATGGGCGAGGAAGGGTCTACAGTGCAAGGGGGCTCTAAGGATGAGGAACATATGAGAGGGGTTCTGAGTCAAGAGCTCCTGAGAGCCTCCTGGGGAGACAGGGAAATGAATGAGAGCCTTGAAAGCTATATGAAACTGATGATTCTCATCACCAGTGCCAGGGGAGCTGGGCCCCACATGTGCCAGGGGAGCTTTTACAAAATGCTAGTGCCTGGAACCCCCTACTCCATCACAGTCTCTGGCTGTGGGACCTGGACATCAGTATTCTTCCAAAGCTTCCCAAGTGGGTCTAATGTGCGGCCACACCTGAAACTGAAACTTGCTGCACTAGGAAACAGAGACTCCGTGTAGGCTTTCAGTAGTAGAGGGACACCAACAAAGGGTCACTCAAGAAATATTTATTGAAGGGAGAGGGCCAGGGTTGAAAAACTACTATCAGCTACTATGCTTACTACTTGGGAGATGAGATACTAAGAAGCCCAAACCTCAGCATCACTTAACATACGTATGTAACATACCTGCACATGTACTTCCTGAATCTAAAATAAAATGTTTAGGCTGGATGTGGTGGCTCACGCCTGTAATCCCAGCACTTTGGGAGGCCAAGGTGGGTGGATCATCTGAGGTTGGGAATTTAAGATCGGCCTGACCAACATGAAGAAACCCCATCTCTACTCAAAATAATTACAAAATTAGCTGGGAGTGGTGGCACATGCCTGTAATCCCAGCTACGTGGGAGGCTGAAGCAGGAGAATCATTTGAACCCAGGAGGTGGAGGTTGCGGTGAGCCAAGATAGTGCCATTGTACTCCAGCCTGGGCAACAAGAGCAAAACTCCGTCTCAAAAAAAAGAAAGAAGGAAAGAAAAGAAAATATTTAGAAGAAACATTTAGTGAACACCTACTCTGGCTATCCAAAGATGAATAAGATATATATAGTGCCTGCCGTTGTCTAGACAACAGATTAGGAGAAAAAAATGGTTCCATAAATATGTGTGATATAAAGGAAATTATTTTACATAAATATGAACCAAGTGCTCTGAGGACATTGAGATTTGCTGGACAAAGCATTCTGAGGGATATTAGAACTTTTTCTTGAGAGATGTTTAGTAGTTTCCCAAGCAAAGAAAACAGAAGAGAACACTATAAATGGAAGACACAATACTACACAGGTGCTGAGTCCTACAGGGACCGGGTGTGCTCAGGGAATATTGGGAGACGGGTACAGGGGACTGGAAAGAATGGGGAAGGTAAATGTCAAGGGTCTGGATTCTGTCTGAGCTCTCAGTATTTGAACAATGAGAAAGGTAGGGCAGTTGGAAGCACAATAGTGATTCAGATGTAAGGTGATGAAGGACCAGACCAAGCAACTGACAGTAGAAACGAGGAAGGGAAAAACCCCAGAGAGATTTCCTAAAAAGGCAATGGAATTTGGTAACAGAACACAGACAAAGAGAGCGAGAGGTCAAGATGGCCCCAGAGTGACTAATTTGAGACAATGGGATAGATAACACAGCAATGGCAAAAACTGACAGTGCTGGGTAGATGACTTAAATTTTGTTTAACTCCACGACATCCACATGGAGATGTGTCCAAAATACTAGCAGGACAGAAGTTGGATTATAGAAGGTGAAGGGGGAAAATATAAGGAAAGAAAGTGGAATATCCAAACAGAAACTGTGTATACCTGGCACTTGGCAGGAGAAGGAAAGAACAGGGATGGCGCCTGGCAGATCAGGTACCAGCATATTTGCCAGGATTGACCCATGTGTGGGTAGAGACTGGAAGAAAGAGCAGGAAACAGGAGTCACTGAGGAGCTGGTCTGTGAGGCACAGGAGTAGGGCATCCCATAGAGGGGAAGAGTTTGCCTTTAGAGAGGATTTTGTTGTTGTTGTTTTGAGACAGAGTCTCACTCTGTTGCCCGGGCTGGAGTGCAGTGGCACAATCTTGGCTCACTGCAACCTTTACCTCCCAGGTTCAAGCAATTCTCGTGCCTCAGCTTCCTGAATAGCTGGGATTACAAACGTACCACCACATCTGGCTAATTTTTGTATTTTTAGTAGAGATGGGTTTTCCACATGTTGGCCAGGCTGGTCTCGAACTCCTGACCTCAAGTGATCTGCCTGTCTTTGCCTCCCAAAGTGCTGGGATTACGGTCATGAGCCATCACACCTGGCCAGGGCAGGGCAGTCATTTCTTAATAGAGGCAGAGATGTCTGAGAAAACAGTCTCCAGGATCCAGATCCTTTCTAAAGAGCAGAGATCAA